GTGGCTCGTGTTTCCTTCGTTGGGGCCCGAACGTGAAAGCCTTTTCTTACGTGCAAGTGGGAATATCATATCCCGCATTGTGCCCACTGTCTTTCTTGGAAACGTGTGAGACTCAGAATGTGGACATGGTTCTTGCAAGTTTGGATGGAATGTCCAACTTTGGTTCACACAACAGATGCGAGCGGCAACAGCAGGAGCTTTGCACTTAAACGCGTGTTAGGGCAAAGGGATGGCAGGTTGCTTTGGTACAAAGCCATCACAAAATTCTTGAAAGAACGCTTGGACCTGGAGGAACATGCCCCATACCCATGTGTGCTCAAATCAAAGGACAACTCATGCATCGTGATGATTCATGTTGACGATCTGTTGGTTGCTGGCCGCCGCAGTTTCATTTTGGGAAAGTTTTCAGAAGAGCTGCGCAAGTTTTGCGACATTTCCATGCAGTGCATTGAGAAGCCTGGTGATGAGCTTACATTCTTGGAAAAAGGCTTCATGTCGTGCATCCAGATGGACGATTGACATTGCAGACCCATCACAAACATGTCATGCAACTTTGTTCATTGCTTGGAATCAATGCAAAGACACAGAATAAGAAGAGTCCTGGCCACAGTGACATCGACAAAGAGGATGCCACGGCAGAACTGACTGCAGAGACATCTACAGTTTAACTTGTGTTGGAATTTTGATGTACCAGGCGAACGATTTGCCCCATTGGCAATATGTCATCCGACATCTTTCAACCTACAGTTCAAAACCAACTGAGAAGAGCATAGTTGTGCTCAGGCACTTGGTGGCATATCTTGCGCGCCATGGTGACATTTCAGTTTCATTGAAGTGGACTGGAAGATGCAGCGGCATCTATCATGGGTATCCTGACATTTCTCAGAGCGACAACGTGCTTGAGATTTTCACGGGTGATTGGGCCAGTGACAGAAACATTAGGAGATCAGTTAGCTGCTGTGTGATGTTTCTAGGCTCATGCCTTCTGTTTTCGGCTTCAAGGACGCAAAAGGTCAGCCTGAGTTCAGCAGAGGCAGAGGTGTTTGCCTGCAGCAGTGGTGCCAGTGACGGCATTTTGCTGAGCCGGTTGATTGGTTGGTTGATTGGCCGCAGAACATGGATGTTCATTTACACAGATAGCAGTGGAGCCAAAGGAATCCTTCAACGACAAGGAGTGGGCAGGCTTCAACTTGTCCTGCCGTGTCCTTTGGTTACAAAATCTCATTGCAAGTGGCTCCATCATTTTGCGTTCCATCAGTGGTCACACCAATCCTGCAGACATCGGTACAAAGAGGCTCAGTGCTGGCCGGATGAAATCCTTGATGTCAGTTTTGGGGCTTTTCAACAATGCAACAGGTGCGTTGGAAGGTTTTGATGATCCTGCAAAGGTTTTTTGTGAGGCGTCAGAACATCAGATCCATTCCGTGCGCCTTGAGCCTGCTTCAGCTGCAAGGCTGCGACGTTGAAAGTTTGGAAGATGGCTGGAGCATCATTGTGACAACGATGGTCATTGGTTTTCTGATGATTCTGCCTTTGGTGTTTTCCATTTTCAGCAGTTTTTGGACTTCAGTGTCAACAACTTCTGACGCGTCGGCATCAACAGCATTGCACGTGCCTATTTTGCAGGGCACTTCAAGCATAGAGCCCACAACAACTGATCAAGTGGATGGTGAGAGCACACCCAGTGAAGCAATTCCTGCAAGTGCTGATGCAGCTGCAGTTGCTGGTGCGGCATTGATGGCTGGTACAGCTACGAGCTCTCACTTGAATGCTACAGGCCCACATACCGCAGACTCATCTGGGATGCCCTATTTTGAGACCCCTGCAGATTTGCCATTTCCGAATGAAGCTTGGTCACCTGAAGCAATGTTGACGTGGATGTACAACAGGTGCCAATGAGATGGATGCTGCAAAGAGCCTTCGACATTGGGTCAAGGATTGCAGAGAGCGTGCATGCAGGTTCGAGCAGCGACCACCCATCTGAAAGCAGACATGTCAATGCAGTTGCAAACCAATTGATGAACATGCTGGAGGATGATTCAAATGAAAATCCAGAGGAAGAAAGCCAATCAGACAGTGATGAGATGATGGAAACTGAAAGCCAACGCAGACTTCGTTATCTCAACAGTGAAATGTGTGAATGCAGCGACCCTGAAGAATGGATGGTATATCACCATGGAGATGCCGACAGTGATTCGACGTCTTCGTGAAGTGGGCACCACCATTTAGAATTTAGGCTAGAATCTTGCAGATCTGATCCTTTTGGATTTTGTCTCCCAGAGACGATGCAAGTAGGGCACAGCACCAGTCCCGCCCCCGCGGCAATCCATTTGGCTGTGTACATTTCCTTGGAGTCATTGTAGCGTGTGCCATCTGGTTGAAACTGATGGCAAGGCCGGGTGCAACACGTTTTCAGACTTGTAGTCATGCCAGTTTAGCTGTAGCGTTGCACTCCATGTGACATAGTTGCTCAGTGTCTGTTCATATCTGAAGGCGCTTCTGATTCAAGGAAAAGAAGCATTTACGCTTTGTCAATGCAACTGGGGGGGACGATGAGGGTGGCTCAAAATTTGGGTTGGCAAAATTTGCAATGATTGGCATCCCTCGGGGTCCAGACCAATTTTTGGCTGAGGCATGCAAACTCACCCACCCCACAGCTATGGCCATGACAGTTGGTGACATGATGGCACAAAATATTGAAGCATACAGCGATCCAAGCGGCCTTGTTTTCAGGCGGCGCCAATGCGATTTTGCAAACAAACTTGTGCTGATGTGCTCAAACCTCAAGGAAGAAGAGCTCAAGTGCCAAGGATCAATGGATGAACATGTACGGCTGGTGCTTGCTTCGCCTGCTGGAAGACATGGGCTACCCGGATGACTTTGTTTGCATTTGCCGTGTGGGTGCAGAGAGCCAGACTGACAGGATGGTGAGATTCCTCTTCAGAACGCTTGGATGGAAATTGTCGGAAGAACCTGGGAAAAATAAACCTTTTTCCACTTTCCAAGCCCTTGGTGTCGAGTTCAACCTCGAGAAGGTTCCGGTTGGGGAGTCCACCGTCGGAAACGCTGCAGCGAAAAAAATGAATTGAAGGAGAAAATTTCTACAATTTCAGATGACAACTTGATGGATCCAGCTCAAGCGGAATCCTTGCGCTCCCGCCTGTTGTTTGCAAATGCGCAGATATTTGGGAGGTGTTGCGTTGGCCGTGTTGCGTTGATGCGGAGCAGTATGCATCCACTTACGGCTGAGGTGAGGTTAGCTTTGGAGTGGTTCAGGGATCACGTCTTGACCGGGCCCCAAGGTCCACAACAGTTCCATAACATGTGCCGACAGGGAGACGTATTTCTTGTTTTTGGACGGGGCTTGCTCTGAGACAGTGCCCTCTGATGAATGGAGCGGGACAGCAATTGGTGCCGTTCTTGCTGACTTCTCTGGGCGCATAGTGAGATAATTTGGGCATGTGGTGGATCCAGCGATTGTCCAGACCTGGGGATGAGAGGACCAGGTGGAGCACGTGTTTGAGGCTGAAGTGATCCCCTACGCCATGTGGTTCAAGTTGTGGGGCGACTTGTTGAGGGGCTCCTGTGTCTTTGCTTTCATTGACAACGAAGCTGCAAAGGCATGTTGGGTTGCTGGATTTGCTCATTCAGATGTTGTTCGTAGAGTTATACACAGTGGAACGAAACTGGAAGCCGAGCTGGACATACATCCATTCTTTGCTCGGGTGCCTACCCACTCGAATTACGGTGACGATCCTTCGAGGGGCCCATTTGAAAAGCTGCGCCGATTGGGCGCATCCAGAATGATGGTGGATGACAGAATGGTCACTTTGCTTTGCACAACCTAGCTGGAAGTCCCAGCGGAAATGTCTAACTGGGGCTACGTGGCTGGGGGGGCTCGAACCATCCCCAAGCGTTTGCGCAAGAAAAACTGAGTGTCATCCATGTGCATCACGTTTTCGTCTCGGCAGGTTCAGTTTATGTTTTTAATTTTAATCAGGTTGAGAGATTTCAGCTTTCGGGTGTACACCTCACTGTGCAATGTTTCCATTACATGTTGCGGTCACCCCCTTTTTTGTGCACACTTAGTCACCTTAAGTTTGTGAGGTTTTGTTTGTTGCGTAGTGACGCGTGTTTGTTCCGCGGGGTTAAGCTGTTACACATGTTGCGGGTTTGAGTTTATAGATAAGGGGGAATAAATTGCTACTCAGCGAACTGATGAAACTTTATTTCCCCTTTCGCAAAAAAGACTGAGGGTAAAAATAGGATTGGATTCAGATGACTCGGACAAGGCCAATGGATGTGCTCCGTTACATGTTTTGTTTTCCATTGGTTTTGGTGACCCCTGACAATGGTTGTTACTTTGCTCCAGAGGTGGACGTGGAACAAGGGGGTTAGTGATACGTATGCTTGGTTGCGGTGATGTTGTTTCGCTATATTTTTGTGCATCAGAAATATATATATATATCTGCTTGAAACCTCAGGTTTTCGGGTTTTATTTGCATGATATGTAATTACAGGATTTACTGGGATATGTTGGTCTCCCTATTTTTTTCTTCGTTTTTGTGCCCAGGTTCAATGTCATAATGCATTTGGAGGAAAAAGGATTGTCAACCAGACATATTCAACATGAGGAAACGCAGATGAGTTAATGAATTGATTGTTCACAGGCAGCTGCAACCATGCGTTGATTGGACATGTTCATTGGAACAGGGTGCAATGTTGATTGACATTTTGTTTGTGCCGTTGTAGTTAATTGAACAAATGGTTGATTGATAAAACATTGGTCTTTCCATCCACGGACAAATCAAAAACACAACGTCTTGCGTTCAACAAATGTATTGGGTTTCATGATTGACAGCAGGGTTCAATTTTGTCCAAGGTATCGAAAGTGACAAATATCTTCCGAACAACATCATGCTGTAGATCATCGTGCTTGGAAACTATCATCGATTTGTTACAAAAATGTGCCAACCTCAATCCTGTACATATTGCAACAAATGCTATGTAAGTGCAACGACACCTCCGCTGTCGCAAGAGAAAAACCACCCAAGTCTGGAAAACATTTCCAGAGCGGTGCTGGAGTGACTGGAGTGGATTCTTTGATTTGGCTTGTACCTGGTCACGGCAGTGGTTGGACATCGCAATTGGATGTGCTGAAACGAGAATTGCAACAGGTCTTGCCGGAAGCCCAGTGCATCATCAGCAGAGCTGGATCTGACAGTGGCACCCAGGCAAACCAGTTGCAGCAGCAAGATTTGGATGCGGCCGCTTTAGCGTTGGCGGATGAGGTTTGTGAAGTTTCTGAAACGAGTCCAGATCAAGTGAAACAAATCAGTTTCTTGGCGATGGGCACAGGAGGATTGATTGTTCGTGCTGCTGTGCCGTGGCTCGGCGCCCACCTCCGAGAGCAGTTGATGACCTTCGTTTCAGTGGGCACACCACATTTGGGTCTGTGGTTTCCAGCCTTGTCATGGCCTGAAAACCTGAAACTTTGGAGGCTCAGATGGCCAGGTGGCCCGTTGTGGTGTGATCAGATCACTCACATGGATGGACGACGCGCAGAGGGGTCCAGACTTTATCGACTTTGTGAGTGTGACACGTCCTTTCAATTCTTCAAGAGAGTGATTTTGGTCGGAAGCAATGACGACTTCGTACCACTTTGGTCATCATTGGTCAATACATCTGAGCCGAATCCACGTGTGGAGTTGAATCCTGGACGGCCTCGGTCTCCAGAAGTTTCTAGAGCAAACTTGCTGGTCTTTGCAATACCCTTCCTGTGGTTGGTACGTTTGCGAGCATGGTTTGCCCTCTCCATCACCATGTTGGTGTTGATTCTAACCTTCCTGTGGACACCCCCTTCTCGTGCCTTGAAGAAACAGGTGGCACGGGTAAAGGACACGCTGCAGGACTTCGTCGTCACCGTCCAACATTTCCGAGCAGGTGCCGGGCCGAACTTTCACGAGTTGGCCACGAGTCTTACCCAGCACCTGCCACACGAGCGGGTGTTGAAGGTTGAACTTAGCGGCGGTTGCAATCGTGGCTGGAGTCGTGCGGGCGGAGCGAGCGGAGCGACGGGTCTGTGGCCACAGAGCTTCAGTGAGCCTCAGACCATCCGAGGCTTCGTCAAGGGATATGGGGCCTACCTCTCAGAATGAGCTGCCAAAATCTGCCAAAGATTGCAGGAGAAAAGGGCGTTCCAAGCGCTGGTGGTAGGCACCATGGGGATGGTGCAGGTGTCGCTATGGGATTGCAGGCCTCCAAATGTATTTTCGGTTGGGCGATTTTTGGTGTGAAGATGTGTGAAGACTGTATCACCCATATATTAGCAGAGTACAACAAGTCTTGCCACGTTCCGTTTGTTGAGTGAGCGGTGAGACGTCTAAATTTGACACGGCTAGAAGTTAAACTATGTCAAAATCCTGACGGACAAGACAACGGGTGTTTGGTATCTCAACTCAGCATTTTGGCTGCAATTTGGCCGGGTGCGGCTTGCTGAGGTACCATTGATGTTGATGATGTTGGGGAGTGTTCTCGCAGAACTGATATTCCGTTGGTTTTATTTCTTTTGAATGCAGTCTCTAATAGTTAAACATAGTCAAAAAAACAACGCTCGGACGTCGGGGTAGGACGCCATCCGAACACAACATCATCATCATCATCATCATCATCATCATCATCATCACTGTCACTGAGTGCCCCACTCCATGTTTGAAGTTACTGTAGAAGGCGCAACTATTTTGGGGATCTGGTCATGTCATAAGTGGATATAATTGGTCAATTAGGTGGGCCGTCTAAGTTACATGATGTTGCAAGAGTGTAGCATAAAGAGTGTCTTCTAAGGTACATGACGTTGCAAGAGCACAGCATCAAGAGCGTCTTCTAAGTTACATGAAGTTGGAAGAGCGTAGCGTCAAGAGCGTCTTCTAAGTTACATGACGTTGCAAGAGCGTAGTTTCAAGAAAGCAAGAAACAAGAATGTTACTGCCCCCGAACCCCCCCACCCTCACCCCCACCGCATGGCATTGTTGAGAGTGTCCATGGCGTTGGTGTGTGCGAGCAAGAGATGTGAAAATGTGCACATGTTCGTGACTTTTCCAAGCTTTCTGTTTTTCTCAAACGTCATGATTCAAGACTGTACAAAACTCGGGTCTTTTTTTCTTTTTTTGTGGCACGTGGCTCAAATTCACTGCAAATACCAATGCAAAAAGGCACTGTTACGATCTCCTGCGCCTGCCAGTAAAAATGGCTGCGGAAGCCAAATGACCTGTAATTTGCAGTACGAAATGACACCAAGTTGCGCGCCCCGACGTCCGAGCCAACAAAGTTGCTGAATCTGCCATTGTTATCCAACTCTCCACTGCGCAACGAACCTTTCGCCACGAGGCAGGGACCATGATGAGCACTCCCAAGCAGAAATTGCGGCCATCGCTGGGGGAGTGCGGGCCTCAGATGTGAGTCGATTTCCCGAGCTTTAGATCCATTGAATTCCACCCATTTCATGTCGTATACCGGGAATTTGATCAACTACCAGGACTTCCATATCCACGGGAGATGGATGCAGTGCAAGACACGGCCTGGATTAACACCTTTGACGAGGACAAGAAGATTTTGTCTACTTTTGGTATTAACTTTTATAGTATTAACTTAAGAATTAACCATCCAATTATTGGGCTACCCGATGACTTGACCCATACCCAAACATACCCATACCCCATATCATCTCGTTCATATCACAACGAGGAATACGACATTGAATCCATCACTTCAACCACTCATCGCAGCATTTTTCAGCCTGGATCCCTGAGACCCTCCCGTGTGAACCGCCTGCGAGCGCAATCTCCTGGGGCATCCTCGGTGGCCCGGTTGTCTGTTTGGAACCGGGGGAGGAACTCCCCAGCAGTGGTGGTCCAAGTGTTTATCCATTGACGATATATACATGTATATATATATAATATATATATACATATATATATAATATATATAATATATATATATATACATATGATATATATATATGATTATATGATATAATTGATATAATATACATATATATATATATAATGGATACAACGATATATATAACGGAGATAGTTTTTTTTTTTTAAGGGGATTCAACCAACACACATTAGTTTCTTGGGGTTTTTAAGAAACCATCATTTTTGTCAAAGGGACAACATATTTTTTTCGGTGTTTTAGGATATTTAAGCAACAAACAATGGGGTAGACTCGGTAGACTGGGGACAAACAATGGGACTTAATGGGACTTAATGGGACTTAATGGGACTTAATGGGACTTAATGGGACTTACTCAAGAAAAATAGAGGTTTGTTGGGGTAACCAAAAATGATGTGATTTAGTGGGAAAATTGTTGGAAACCAATACATTTCCAGTGTTTCCATATTTTGAATAGCTACAAATGATAATTTCCGTGTGAAAATTCACATTTTTGGACACCCATTCTGGTTTCAACTGCCGGAGAGCTTTCCCAAGGTGGGCTCTGGAGAGGATGTGCCTGGAACGGGATCCCCTCGCAGGAGCGATATTGGGGGGGGTGATGCGTGTCGGACTTCGAAGGATGGTCGACTGGTCCAACTTTTCATGTTGAAATACTTCGAAAATCCATGTGAAATCGAAGGAATCCACATGGTTTTTCCATGGATTTTTTGAGAAAAAAACACACACATCTCGACCAATGTCCTGCATGAAAATTGTTCTGGTGACCAGCACCATCAAGCCACCAACCTGGGGATGAAATGGGGATATAGCCATCAACAGGAGAGTTGAACCAGCAAAAATGACATGAGTTTCCTGAGCAATAGCCATGGGGGAGGTTTTTCAAAAGAACTTCAGTGAGTCTGTTTCAACTAGATTCTAAGATGACTGCAATGGGATTTTTCGCGAGAAATCACATGAAGTTCGCAGCCCCTGCGACGGAATGGATCTGATTCGAGTGTGAAGCATGTGCCAGGCGAGCTCTATTCCAGGGTGCAACTGGAGGTTGGGGACCTGAGCCCCAGTTGCAATGGATTTAAGGCATGACATTTTTGTTACCCTCCGGTAATCAAACATAGCAATGGGACATTTTCTTTATGGAGGTTTCTAGGGGAGAATCATCGATGGGGAATTCTCAATCCGGCCATCGAGTTCAGGCTTTTCTCGGAGATTCTTAGACAAATGTCCGAAATACAGGGAATCCATTTTTTTTTCCTTGGTTTTTAAGTACTTGTAGAAGGTGACCCCAGAATTCTCATGTCCTGGTGGAGCCTCAGCCATGGACGCCATGGCGATGTCACCAATCTTGCCATGCCACTCCAGGACGCCCAAGGGCCGCAACTTCCAGGTGGGACCTGGTGGCAATGGGATGAATGGCCATGAACTGCCAAAAAGATGGCTTTGTCTATGGAATATCCCAAATCCATTGGTGAAGCAGTTTATATATATATTTTCATAGATCTTCCATTCGGTATCCCCCATTTTTAGGCAGACCATCGATTTCCGACCAGCAATAAGACGTTGACTCGTTGGACCCGACTCGTTGGACCCCACTCGGTAGGCACTCGCGCGATCCGCGTCCTGTGGGAGATCGTGCCTTCACGGCGCAATGCGCCAAAAACGTGGTGGAGCTCTTGACTGCCCGGGGTCCACAGATGTGGCCTGCCATGTGGCCTGCCATGTGGCCTTGGGGTTGCAGTTGAGGCAGTGGAAATAGCCAGAACTGGGGTATACCCTCGATTTTTGGGGCTCATGTGGGGGTGTCGAAGTTATACAAAATGTTGAATAAAGTAAAGTGGGGGGTATCTATTTAAGTTTCGCCCAACAGCTATAGTTTATATTTTTTAACGGAGCACAGTATCTACGCATGTCATTTTGGGTTTGGTAGCAGCCAAACATGGGTGATGTAACAGACGGAAGTGGATTTTGCGGATCTGTGCATTTGGCTCCTCGGATCCTCACCCAGGGGCTTGAAGACTCTGTCAATGGGGTCAAACCTTCATATACACTGCACCCACATTTTACCATTTATTCAAGATTCCGTTTACCACATGGAAATTTGTTGCGACCTGTCTCGGAAAGCCATCAGAAAGGTTTGCACTGCTCTCTGGTTCGCTAATGTGAATGTGTAACAGTGTAACAACAGAGCGGTTTTTAGATGCGTTTCCAAGGGAACCAATTTAGATTTGTTACCCCTGTGACCCCTCCCAAAAAGCCGGGCTGATGATGGACTGATATCCTGATTGAATATCTTTGGAGTACTTAGGGTTTAAGATTACCAGTGCCAGGAGTACGAACGAGTCAGTTGGAAAATCAGGGAACATCTACAGTTGAAACTTCGAAACCATTGTTTTAACTAGTTTTAACCATGAATCATGGTTCAGTTTTCCTGCACAATATCAGCTTGGGCCCAGGCCAGAGGTTATGCCAAGACCTTCTCGCATGAAAAGCTTCTGAAGGACGGAAGTGGCAGGAGCTTAGTTTTTTGTTGGATTCTTTTCTGGTAGCTCTCTGGCTGAGGATTGAACCATCAACAGGGATTATGAGAACAAATTAAAGGAAGGAACTACCATCCATGCTTTGATGATTGACAATACAAACGGCTCATGACCCCTTGGCTAGAGCGAAACTGGGAGCTGTAGATAATGGAAAAATAAAGGATAAGAAAAAGCAAGTCCGGAGACGTGCATGTGAAAGTGCGAATCCGCACAGGACACCTCCCAACAGGGATTTAATGGGATTTCATGGGGTTTGATCCCAATAAACCATCTTAGCTAGAAATCTTAAATGAATTTGTGGACGATTGACGGTCTGGCTGGCGTGTCTCAAAAAGTGGGGCCATTTAGATCCACTTATAGATCCACTTAGTATTAGACTACCTACACCATCCATGTCTTGCGGTCAATCATTTTTTGCCACACCTATTTGTTAGGTGCACAACCTCGACACATCCCCAGCTGATATGACCAGGATCCCTCGACCAAAGAGTTTTACGACGTCTTCCGCTTCCTCATTTCTCAGCTGGACATGCTCGGCTGTGTGAGTCAGGGGTATCGTTTTGAGGCCATGAAAGTTATACCACTGTTGATTGGTCACTGGTTTATTGGAGATTATGAGAATGATTATATACCAAAATCGGAATGTTTCAAACTTGGGCCATTTGGGAATCCAGCAACAAGAAAACATGGGAATTCAACCAATAGGTAGCAGACTCGTAAATCTCAATTTGGTAACGCCACCAACAATCGTGGGTATCCGATACCTTCAAACGGAAAGGGAACATTGCGCTTTCAACAGAAATTGGTGTTGAAGCAACATAGATTGATAGTTCACCCACAAACAACATATTTGACCAGCAAAAGATGAATGACGAAGAATATTCGGCGCTTGATGAACAGTTATGATTATTGAGCTAATGGGAATTGGAATTCAAGAACCACAGTGGAAATTGAACGGACAATCGCAAAGTTTGGCCTCCAAATATTTTGATGGATTTCGCAGCCCCAACAATCCCTTTTTTATGCCATATTTTATGGTTCATGCTGGAAAGCCTGTCTCGTGGGCGCCACTGGATCCTTTGGAGCTTCCCTGAAGATTGCCCAGCCATGGCTAGGCCATGGCTGCCGACCCGACTCTGGCAATCCAATATGGCTGGAGAATTCCCCATTGAGTTCGATGATTTTCCCAGCAAAAAACAACATGCATTTAATGCATTTATAATCATTTATTTATTTATGATTATAACCCATTTATTTCCCAGGTATAATCATTTATAATCATTTGATTCCCCGATTTGTAAAGGATTTTCCCATTCAAATACCTCCATTGGTGATTTTCCATTGCCATGACACCGGAGTGGGACCGCCGATGCGGATCCCCAATAGGACGGTCTATGGAAAAAAAAGGATAACTGGGGATACCCCCATGACCTAGGAAACTTCCATTTTCAAAGTTCAAGGTTTCATGCCGAAGTGAAGGACAAGAAAAACAGAACCCCCCTGCATTTGCTTTAAAAGTCATGGTTTCCTGAAAGGAAATCCCATGATGCCATGGCCCCTGCACATCCCTGCAGGACCCTCAACTGGAAGTGGAGGGCAAGATGGAAGATGAGGTGATCTTCCGCAAAGGAATTCCAACATCTGCAGTTTTTGGAGCAGTTCAAACTCATCCCACATATCCCCTGTGAAGTTTCCAGTACAAAAGGAGGCCTATGGAGGCCTTGAGGCCACGAGAAATAAGACACATTCCACAATTCCACCTGATTTTCACTGGGATTCCCGAAACCTTGACATATTCGGTCGATTCTTGGCGATCTGCCAATCTTCGGCGATTTTCGCAGCACAAAAATCGGGCCATTTTTGAAGCTAATCCCATCCCTCGCAAAATGGAGAACACAAACCATTTAAAAGGTCCCAAATATGAGTAATTTCCATGAATTTCCCCTATATAAAATATATAAAGCCAGAATTGATTGGTGTGTTTTGAAAATTGGAAAGAGATCATTTTTAGGAACGGACGTACTTGTGGCTCGACCCAATTTTCGTGCCATGGTTTTTTATTGGTCCCATTGGTCCCAGGGCGGGACCATAGCTGTTATGGATGCTGAGTCCCTAAATTTATGGAAGATGAGGTTTGAAATGTTTTAATTGATCCCCCCAGATCATAATTATATTCCATAATATCATATAATATCCCATTGTATTCCATAAAAAATCCCCATACAACAAAACGGTTGGTCTTATACTTTACCCCTGTTTCGGACCGTGGACCCTGGTTCTGCAAGGTGCCGGCCATCATGCGACGTCTGAAGTATCCTGTAGAGGTGAACCGCTCCAAATTGCAGGCGGGGGGCAAGGAGCGACTGGTGGTAGCCGGGTAGACTGAAAAAAGGCCAAAACCCTAAAGGTGCAGAAGTCGGCAAAATCGAAGTCAAAAATAGTGATACATGGCTTACTTTTCCATCTTTATTTGGGGTTAAGAATCAATTTGTTTTCTTAAGAAAACTATTACTGTAGAGATACTGTAGATTTCCTGGATATCTAAGATTAGCGACGGAGTTTTGTTTAGGGCGGTTTGGTTTGGAGATGATGCGGGAAAATGGGAACATCTGGGCCAAAGACGATAAAGATACAGTTTGGCGAGTTGCCGAGTTGGCTTAATGGCAGGTCTTGGGCAGCAGATATTCCCTGAACCAGAAGACTGTGTACTAATAGCGTATACAAACTAACGCAAGCCAAAGTTTTTTTGCGCAGCGGTATGCTGCGCGCGCTCTGGGAAACTTGGCGATGGTTTTTGAGAACAGGGCGGTCATAGCAGCTGCGGGTGGGATTCCTCCTCTCGTCGAACTGATCACGAAAGGCGGCAGTGACGAGAAACGACAAGCTGTAAACGCTGTGAGAAATTTGACATTAGATGACCAGCACAAGGCGGCGATTGCAGCTGCAGGTGCCATTCCTCCGGTAGCTTTGGTCAGATGTCGCGGCCCTGATTTGCAGCGATGTGCTGCATGCGTATTGGCAAACTTGGCAACGAATGACCAGAACAAGGGAGCCATCGTGACAGCCGATGGAGTCCAAGCCCTTCAGATGGCTGAAAATGGCAAGCTGCTTGTTGTGGACCGACAGTTGGCTCAGGAAGCTCTGAAGTATTTTTTCCACCAGTCTGATTCTGCAGAGGGGGCCACAATCCGGCGAGGAGACCGAGCACTGCTGTTTGCGCAAGCTGCTAGCGGAAGTGAAGAGCAGAAGGCCAAAGCAGCCGAGCAGCTCGGAACTTGGGCAGCGGTTTCGGATGAGAAGAGAGTTGCCACCAGCAGAGAAGGGGGAGCTGAGGCGTTGGTGGCTCTGCTGGTGACCGCAACGATGATATGAAATGCCGCGCTGCCAGGGTCTTACGAAATCTTGCGAATAATTGTGAAGCCAAGGAAGGAAATTGCTGTAAAAATTGCCAGTGATCTGATTTTGAGCAAAATTTGCCAAAATCCCTGTATAAAATATGCAAGAAATTAATCTCCAAAATGGAGGCTTTCAAATTGGTGGAATTCAGGGGTCCATTTGGATGAGTCTGGGGAAGCTGCCTTATCTAGATGTTCTGCGTGGGAGGGCTACTTCATTTAGATGTTTACAGATGTCCGGATATATCTGGAAGGAGGGGTGCCACCTAGATGTTTCCAGGTGACCGTATCATTTAAACGGTTCCAGAAGACACCACATCTAAATAAGCCTGGATAATGCCATAAAAGGGCAGTATCCTCCAAAGGCACAAAGTGGCCAAGGACGCTTCAAGTTGACATTGACCAGGATCAACAGTTGGCCAGAATTTGCCTGACACTGCTATCATTGGCTATCATCATAGTTTCACTTTTCCTCAGATTTGAACCATCAATGGTGTTTTAAAGTTTCGCCATGTTACACCGGATTTTCAGTGGAATCGCCTGTTTGCGGCTCGACACAGTCCACAAAGTTCACAGCGGAAAAAAAGGAGTAGCACTGCAAGCAGCTTGCACTTGGTCAAACTGCCTGCACTCAACTGTCCGTGCTGAACAAGACATTATTCGTGCACAAACGCAACATCAAACATATAAATACATATAAAACAAAACCACTGCAGTGGTTCTATATCAGTTTTTTCCCAAATGTTGTTACTCAGTGACCTATCCCATGTTTGCTGCTGGCTTCAACTGTACTAAAGTTGTAGCAGAAATGCCAGCCAAAAAGAATTTCGGAGATTTGCTAGAAGTTTCCCTTCTTGGGTTTGGTTTTGAAGGGCGGTCGCATGATTGTCCGAACAGTTTGGATGATATTTCTTCGCCCGGGTTTCCGAATTTCCCGTCGATTCTGCGTGACAGAAATCAACCATCGTGAGGCCATCAGTGGTCCTAACACCTGGCCGTTTGCCTGACATGTTTGGGGAAGATGGCCGTTTACCCCATATCATGATCATTTTGATATGGGAAAATGATGGGAAAATGATGATCTTCACCGTCTTCACCCACCAAATTTTGAGGTTTTCCTCCAAAATTTCCGAGAAACTCCCTGGTTTGGGAAACCGGGAGATTTGTCACAAGGTATCTCTTGAAAATTGGAGGGATATCTCATAATATCTTCCTACCCTCCAGGACTCCAAGTAATCAAACATGGTTTGCTAGAAAATCCCTGATCTATAGATGTTTTTCCCATTTTCCCTCCATTTATGGGCGATTCTCCTATACTTTCCCACATTTACCCATGATTTTCCCATGACTTTCCTATGATTTTCCCATGACTTTCCTATGATTTTCCCACGCCAGGCAGCTCCTGGCAGTGCTGGATTGGCTCACCATGCTGGCAGGAGACTGAGCCATTGCTGTGCTAATCATCCATTTTTAGTGGCTAAATATGGGCTCAACATAAATCAACATGGCTATGGGTCAATACCTATATAGATACCATTTTTAGTGGGATGAACATCCATTTATGTACCAGCTATGACTTGGGGTTCACTAGGTACCAGGGTTTTGACCCATCCCCACATAAATCAAGGATCTTTGATTTTCTGGGCTTTCAATAGCTATGTTTAAATGATGAGAGGATTGTTTCATTAGAAAAACTACAACAACAATACTAGTATATATATGTATATATGATATATCTGATATATCATAATATATCTGTATAATTCTGTATACAAAAATGTAGATACACAGTATATGTTTACATGTCGAATCATGTAGATGTTTGGAATGTCTGCCCGGCTGCCCTGCGATGCCCCGAACTTGGCCAGGTCCGAATCAACGACGACCTGGTGGAGCCTCTGGCAGCGTGCCAGTTGGGTTTAGCCGCTGGGGAAACCCAGAGCCGTTGCGGCCGTTGCGCCAAAACGTCAGACTTCAGGTAGACGTGAATTCCTATGGGGTGTGAAATTTAAATCTTTCTAGGACCTATGTTTGTTTACTTCAAGTTCGAGCCATGCCTACATCCTAGAGTTCAGTTGCGACCACAACAAAGACCCTTCTTTGGAAGCGGCTGATGCAAAACTCTTGCAATATACTCGTATTTTGTTCCGTTGTGTTTTTGGAGGGGTAGCTGGGTAGCCCACCCAGTTTTTGAACCGCTCTAGGGTTATGACGAGAAATGGCGTTGTAACAACCGACCTAAAACCATTCAGTCAAAAATCGGGTATCCCTAAAATCGGATGGTTAAGCCATGGTTAATCCACGGTAAAGCCACGCCTGATGATCAAACTCAGGGGCATCCCCTTCGCCGATTGGCACGCTGAGGACCTGGGGGACCCTGATCGAGATGCAGGTCGGCTCACCCTAGTTTTTTCCTCGAAAATCCATGGTTTTTCCATGATGGGATTCCTCAAATGACACAGTGGAAACGTTTGTGGAATTGGCCAGTGGCCACGTCCAGGTGACCACCATGTCCTCCGATCGCTGCATGAGAACTACTTGAGTTTCCTCAGTGGGAAAGATGAGTGTGGCGATGAAGAGAGGCCAGTGAAATTTCCAGTTGTCAGAAATTTCACCGGAAGTTCCAAAAAAGCACCTTTGGAGCCAGGCTTCGGATGATCTACACTCAGCGCATCGAAGCTTTACAAGCTGAAATTGACCGTTTGGGTGGCCAGCAGGAGGAGCACCGGGTCGATGGCTGGCTGGGGCGGCTGGGGTTGATGATTTCAATGTCTGCCAGGAGATGCAGCGCAGGCACTGGGGATGGTGAGACCACGGAGCGTTAGTCCCGTTTTGTTTTTTGGTTCTCAGCCTCTTCGCCCCGACATCGCCACGTTTGTACACCAATTGCAAGTGGGATGAACATTTGAACAACTAGGTATTTCAAAGTTAATTTCAAACAGGATCCTTACACGCTTTATCCCCTCTACAGAATCAACTTCATCTATAGATAGTCCGAAATTGGGACTCGGCCTGAAAGTTGTGCGAATAGTCAGTGCTGTTGGGAACTAGAATGGCAATGGTTTCAATTGTTGGATTGATCACACCAAAAGCCCTCCACCTGGTTTGTCTGAGTATCGGCTACTGTCAAATCCAGTGGTTTTGATCGTTTTCTCGATGAACATGCCATCATTAACCAGTATTCACTATCATTAACCAGTATTCATTATCATGAACCAGTATTAACCATCCTCAACCAGTATTCATTATCATGAACCAGTATTAACCATCCTCAACCAGTATTCATTATCATGAACCAGTATTAACCATCCTCAACCAGTATTCATTATCATGAACCAGTATTAACCATCCTCAACCAGTATTCATTATCATGAACCAGTATTAACCATCCTCAACCAGTATTCATTATCATGAACCAGTATTAACCATCCTCAACCAGTATTCATTATCACGAACCAGTATTAACCATCCTCAACCAGTATTCACTATCATTAACCAGTATTCATTGTCATGAACCAGTATTAACCATCCTCAACCAGTATTAACTATCCTCAACCAGTATTAACCATCCTCAACCAGTATTCACTATCAGTAACCAGTATTCATTATCATGAACCAGTATTAACCATCCTCAACCAGTATTAACTATCCTCAACCAGTATTAACCATCCTCAACCAGTATTCACTATCATTAACCAGTATTCGTTATCATGAACCAGTATTAGCCATCCTCAACCAGTATTAACTATCCTCAACCAGTATTAACCATCCTCAACCAGTATTTACTATCATGAACCAGTATTAACCATCCTCAACCAGTATTCATTATCATGAACCAGTATTAACCATCCTCAACCAGTATTAACTATCCTCAACCAGTATTAACCATCCTCAACCAGTATTCACTATCATTAACCAGTATTCATTATCATGAACCAGTATTAACCATCCTCAACCAGTATTAACTATCCTCAACCAGTATTAACCATCCTCAACCAGTATTCACTATCATTAACCAGTATTCATTATCATGAACCAGTATTAACCATCCTCAACCAGTATTAACTATCCTCAACCAGTATTAACAATCCTCAACCAGTATTCACTATCATTAACCAGTATTCATTATCATGAACCAGTATTAACCATCCTCAACCAGTATTAACTATCCTCAACCAGTATTAACAATCCTCAACCAGTATTCACTATCATTAACCAGTATTCATTATCATGAACCAGTATTAACCAGTATTAACCATCCTCAACCAGTATTAACTATCCTCAGCCAGTATTAACCATCCTCAACCAGTATTCACTATCATGAACCAGTATTAACCATCCTCAACCAGTATTCATTATCATGAACCAGTATTAACCATCCTCAACCAGTATTCATTATCATGAACCAGTATGAACCATCCTCAACCAGTATTAACTATCCTCAACCAGTATTAACCATCCTCAACCAGTATTCATTATCATGAACCAGTATTAACCATCCTCAACCAGTATTAACTATCCTCAACCAGTATTAACCATCCTCAACCAGTATTCATTATCATGAACCAGTATTAACCATCCTCAACCAGTATTAACTATCCTCAACCAGTATTAACCATCCTCAACCAGTATTCACTATCATGAACCAGTATTAACCATCCTCAACCAGTACCGTTTATCATGAACCAGTATTAACCATCCTCAACCAGTATTCACTATCATGAACCAGTATTAACCATCCTCAACCAGTACTCATTATCATGAACCAGTATTAACCATCCTCAACCAGTATTCATTATCATGAACCAGTATTAACCATCCTCAACCAGTATTCATTATCATGAACCAGTATTAACCATCCTCAACCAGTATTAACTATCCTCAACCAGTATTAACCATCCTCAACCAGTATTCATTATCATGAACCAGTATTAACCATCCTCAACCAGTATTCACTATCATATATTAACCATCCTCAACCAGTATTCACCATCCATCCTCAACCAGTATTCATTATCATGAACCAGTATTAACCATCCTCAACCAGTATTAACTATCCTCAACCAGTATTAACCATCCTCAACCAGTATTCATCCCATGAACCAGTATGAACCATCCTCAACCAGTATTCATTATCATGAACCAGTATTAACCATCCTCAACCAGTATTTCTATCCTCAACCAGTATTAACATCCTCAACCAGTATTCACTATCATAACCAGTATTCATTATCATGAACCAGTATTAACCATCCTCAACCAGTATTGACTATCCTCAACCAGTATTAACCATCCTCAACCAGTATTCATTATCATGAACCAGTATGAACCATCCTCAACCAGTATTCATTATCATTAACCAGTATTAACCATCCTCAACCAGTATTAACTATCCTCAACCAGTATGAACCATCCTCAACCAGTATTCATTATCATGAACCAGTATGAACCATCCTCAACCAGTATTCATTATCATGAACCAGTATGAACCATCCTCAACCAGTATTCATTATCATGAACCAGTATGAACCATCCTCAACCAGTATTCATTATCATTAACCAGTATTAACCATCCTCAACCAGTATTAACTATCCTCAACCAGTATTAACCATCCTCAACCAGTATTCACTATCCTCAACCAGTATTAACCAATCTCAACCAGTATTCATTATCATGAACCAGTATGAACCATCCTCAACCAGTATTCATTATCATTAACCAGTATTAACCATCCTCAACCAGTATTCACTATCCTCAACCAGTATTAACCATCCTCAACCAGTATTCATTATCATGAACCAGTATGAACCATCCTCAACCAGTATTCATTATCATTAACCAGTATTAACCATCCTCAACCAGTATTAACTATCCTCAACCAGTATTAACCATCCTCAACCAGTATTCACTATCCTCAACCAGTATTAACCATCCTCAACCAGTATTCATTATCATGAACCAGTATGAACCATCCTCAACCAGTATTCATTATCATTAACCAGTATTAACCATCCTCAACCAGTATTAACTATCCTCAACCAGTATTAACCATCCTCAACCAGTATTCACTATCCTCAACCAGTATTAACCAATCTCAACCAGTATTCATTATCATGAACCAGTATGAACCATCCTCAACCAGTATTCATTATCATTAACCAGTATTAACCATCCTCAACCAGTATTCACTATCCTCAACCAGTATTAACCATCCTCAACCAGTATTCATTATCATGAACCAGTATGAACCATCCTCAACCAGTATTCATTATCATTAACCAGTATTAACCATCCTCAACCAGTATTAACTATCATTAACCAGTATTAACCATCCTCAACCAGTATTCATTATCATGAACCAGTATGAACCATCCTCAACCAGTATTCATTATCATGAACCAGTATTAACCATCCTCAACCAGTATTAACCATCCTCAACCAGTATTAACTATCCTCAACCAGTATGAACCATCCTCAACCAGTATT